TGTGTGTGTGTGTGTGTGTGTGTGCGCGCGCGCACGCGCGCATATAATTAATGTATCCAGAAGATACATTTTTGGATGAATTCTGAATGGAGATCAATATTAAAACTCTCTCAGAAACAATAACAAATTTCCAACCAAAGGTCTCAAAAATCTTGTCAGTGTGTACTAGCATTGGCAACATCTGTTATCCTCAATGTCATTACTTACTCCATCACAGGAGTGTCAAATTCGATTTCATTGAGAACCACATCAGGGTTGCATTTGATGTCAGGGGGCCAGGGGGCATGGCCAGCTTGATGTCCATTTTTGGCCATGATGGTTTCTTGCAGTCCTCTGCCAGTGAAAATGGAGTTTGGGAGGGCTGCATGTGCCCTCCCCCCAGCTCCATTTTCGCTGGCAGAGGCACAACAGGCTGGTCCTTCGCTGTTTCCTGAGGATCAGATCTAAACATTCTGTGAGCTAGATCCGGCTGGCGGGCCTTGAATTTGACACCCCTGCTGTATCACAAATAGACAACCTTTTTGTTCTGGAACCATATCTAGAGTTTTGAGAGCTTGTAATAAGCACATTCACAAAATGAAGACTTTATTGTTAATAAAATGGATGCCCTAGTGAGTCTTGCAAAGGAAATCACCAATGTGCTCTCTACCACCTTTTTAGGGAATGTAAATAGATCTGATGCTTGTGATAGATCCTTTGCCTTTAGTAAGTCAACTTTTAAGACACATAGGCAAGGGACAAGGAAGATATCATAGTACTATATTTCCCACTCTTGTGCCACATCCTTTTATATTTTTTCTCCTTTCTCACTCACATCTTTTTTCCCATCTACTCAAGATATTTTCTCCTTAAGTTGCATTTTTGTTCTCTTCTTATAAAGAGACAAAAGGAGAAAACAGTATGGGCATTTTGACAATGCTCAAATATAACCCAAGTGTTCAAAATCAATGAAACAGAAGTGTTTTTACAAGCCCTACAATATGGAGCATACTGCTAAGATAGCCTTTCCCATCCAGGCATTCTCCAGATATTTTTTGAAAACTGCAGTCAGAATCCATTTTTTTAAAGTTGGAAAAGGCTGGATAAAAAAACAGAAGACCTAAACAAAATCAGTGGACTTACATACACAAAAGCTAAAGTTCTCACATCATTTTAAATAATGTTTCAAATTTCTGAAGTTCTTTTTAACAGTAACATTATTACTATGGTGTTTATTAAGAATACCTTAAAGATTATTGCTATTGGAATATCTTCTGAAAGGGTGTTGTGCTTCAGATAAAATCTCCCTTGCTTCACAGTTATATTTGTTCTGCTCTTCTTTTCATGCGTAGAGCTGGGCATTGGTTACAAAAAAAGGAATATAGCATTAATGTTTATATTTTTTATTCAGAGAGAGGAAAAGGGGTCAACACTTCTTGTAGTTGGAATTTCATAGCTCCAAAATATGTTCCTGTTGAAAATTGAAAATTAGCCTCTGTATCAACCATTTCTCTCTTTTTGGCTGTGAGCAATGACAAGATGACCCAGTCAGAGGACATTTCAAGCATCTATTCCTGACTAGAGCTGCCAGGCCAGGAATAGCCAAAAAGATTGATTGGAAGCAGGAAAAATCAAAGTGAGCTGCCAGTCAGTGGGAGATTGGCCAGTAGTTAGACAGAAAAAGAAGCTAAGCAATAGAAGCTGGTGGCAGACTATGTGACTAAGTTGGATTTGGAGGCAACCATGCCAGAGGTCGAATGATGGAGGGGACTGGTCTTTGTTGATTAGAACAGGAGAGATAATAGTGGTGAAGAAGAGAGGAAAGGTGAATGAGGCACAGAGATAGTGGATTGAGCTGAGAGAGAAATGCGTGTGAATGCTAAATGGGAGGTTGAAGGATGAAAGTGGATGTGAAGGGCATTGCTGTGACCCAGGCTTCCTTAGAAAGCAAGAAGCAAAGTTTTGGTCCCTGCAAAACCTCTTTTATTTACACGACTGTGAATTCCTTCCATTCAGTCAGCAAGGCTTAGTAAACAGTCTTTCAGAGAAATGTTTATCCGCGCTTCAAGGTGCTACTTACCACCCATAAATCCCTTCATGGTAATGGATCTGGATACTTGAGAGACCGCCTCCTGCCAATCAC